CTTAACACCAGTTTTACAAAGCAATGAACTATAAATGAATCTCTAATCAATAAGTCAACACAATTAATTATGATGAACATTGACTACATCTAGTAAAATCCATATGTGAAGTAAAAGAATAGACGGACCCTGGCTGATGTGGCTCATTTGTTGAGTATTGTCCTGTGCACCAAAAGGTTGCCGGTTCGATTCCCAGGTAGGGAAAGCGTAGGAAGCAGCCCATCAATGTTTCGCTCTAACATGAATGTTTCTCTTCCTCTCTCTCTCTCTCTCTCTCCCCTCCCTCTCTCTCTAAAAATCTATTTTAAAAAATCTTGGAAGGAAGGAAGGAAGGAAGGAAGGAAGGAAGGAAGGAAGGAAGGAAGGAATAGATGAAACTACATAAGTATGGGAAACCTCTATCATTCCCAGCCATCAATTAAGAGTTTGAAATTGTTACTAAGACGAAATACAATTAAAACTGAACAACAAAATAAACACACACAAAAAACAAGTAACAAATATCCTGACATTTACCTACATCAGCGATTATCAACCAGTGTGCCACAAGAATTTTTAAAACATGCAATATCTGACTATTTCATCAGGGGCACTGACCTCTTTTCCCTTAGATCAATGGTTCTCAACCTTCCTAATGCCGCGACCCTTTAATACAGTTCCTCATGTTGTGGTGACCCCCAATTTCATTGCTACAAATTGAACATAATTAAAGCATAGTGATTCATCACAAAAACAATATGTAATTATATATGTGTTTTCCAATGGTCTTAGGCGACCCCTGTGAAAGGGTCATTCGACCCCCAAAGGGGTCGCGACCCACAGGTTGAGAACCGTAGCCTTAGATTGTCAAATTAAAAACTGACAACAGCCAACACAATAGCCATCCAGTGTGAATGAATCAAAATTATACCTATTCTTTTGTCAGTTGGTGCTGCAGAACTTTAGTCATTAGTTTCTGTGTGCCAATGAGAAGAAAAAGTTTGAAAATTGCTGACCTACATCAATTCCTGGCCTATTCAAAGCCCGTTGCTTTCCACTGCAGATAACAATGGCAAGAAAATTTCATCCTTCACCAATTTTTTAAAAAGCTTTAAAAAAACCTAACTAATCTAAATCTGCCTAGCCTGGAAACAAATTTTTAATCAATTAAATTCAAAGAAACTATAAGTTAATTTCAAACATTTTGTGCCTTTTTAAAAAAATTATGTGGGCAGGCCAAATACTTAAGTCTTACTGTATAATTAAATTCAACATGACAGGCAGTTATATATACTAGTATACTAGTGACCTGGTGCACAGATTCGTGCACACTGAAAGGAAATTAATTAGAAGGTGGCTGGTGGGGCGGGACTGGGTGAGACGGGCCAGACACGCCCTGGAGCCAACCTCTCACAGTCCCTCTCCAGTGTCTGCAGAGTGAGAGGGGTCCCTCCAGCAGGTGGGGTCCCTCAGCAGGTGGCGGTCCTTCAGCCTGGCCTGCAGGGATGAGGCCAAAATCAGCTCTCCGGCATCCCCCGAGGGGTCCTGGAGTGCGAGAGGGCACTCTGCAAAGTTGCTGTTGTATAGGGTGTGGAACGCAAACACAAGTGTGCAGTAAACCAGATTCGGGACCAACAGTGCCCCAGCAACAACATGACCCACAGCCGAAGGTGGAATCGCGCAGCCCCTTGAGGAATTGGGCTCTCTCCTCTCTGGTTTTGGGGTGTGTCACCCAAGAACTGCAGCCGCCAAGTCACTGCAGCTTGGCAGCTCCTGCATTGAGCGTCTGCCCCCTGGTGGTCAGTGTGTGTCATAGTGACGGGTCAGACAGTAGGAGGGACACTTAGCATATCAGCCTTTTATATGCACAGGTAGGGTCCCTAGACCTGGCTGGCGATCAGGGCTGATCAAAGCCTTTCAGCTGCCAGGGCATGCCTTCCTCCGCTGCCAGCTGGGGCCTTCCTTAGTTCCATGCCATCCCCTGGTGGTCAGCACACATCATAGCGAGTGATCGAACTCTTAGTCTCCCGGTCAAACTCCCGAGGGGACAATTTGCATATTAGGTTTTTATATAGAGAGAGATATCTCCGAGAATGTTACACCACAGGTAACAAGTGTATTTGGATAAGTTGTAATGTGAATCCATTTTTCTAATTAGAATGCAATGTTTATTCATTTAATAAATATTGCAGTATCAATATTCTACCCAGAAAATAAAATCCTCGAATTTTATCTTTAAATTTGCCATAAACTTAAAGATAAAATCAGAGAAGGGCCTATCCTTCCCTCCAGAGGAGATAAAACAGGTACATAAAAAGCTAAATATAAGGTAGAAAGTGTAAATGCCATGAGATGTGCAAATAAAGCATTTCACAAGGGCAGAGGGAGCTGTTACTACCTCACAGAAATATAGCCCTCTCAACCTATTTAAAGTAATTTCATAACTATTAACTTTCTTAGGCTCACAACAGCCAACCCTGGGAGAGACGCTTTCCTCCTATCATAGGTGAGGAAACTGAAGCACAGAAAGGTTGATCATATTCCAAAATGTCACAATTTAATTAAAGGAAGAATCGGGACTCTTTGTATTATATTTTCTCTGGGGGAGTAGTTCAATATATGGCAAGGCTTTTGCAAAAGAAAATAGTACTTTATTTTAATATTGCAAGTATTCACACCGTTATGTATGTATGTGCATATTATTTACATGTACGTGTTAACCTTGATTTCTAGTAACACGTGTGCTTAAAACAAGGCAAAGCAACTGTGTACTATAAATATTAAAATAAATAAATAAACTTCCACGGGATTTTAACAAAATAAGAAAGTAAAGACTATTTCTTTTTCCAACAATTTGTGGTTATTTCTTCTGTAATTTTTTTAAATATATTTTATTGATTTTTTACAGAGAGGAAGGGAGAGAGATAGAGAGTTAGAAACATCGATGAGAGAGAAACATCGATCAGCTGCCTCCTGCACATCCCCCACTGGGGATGTGCTCACAACCCAGGTACATGCCCTTGACCGGAATCGAACCTGGGACCTTTGAGTCCGCAGGCCGACGCTCTATCCACTGAGCCAAACCGGTTTCGGCTCTTCTGTAATTTTTACCTACTTAGACATAAGATTCTAAAATTGGGCTACTCCTGAGCCCCAGCAAATTGATTCCTCCAATAAATAACTTTATGAAAAAGTACACGAAAACATTTTGAAAAAAACACTGAAAACTAAATCATGCCATCAGCTCTTCAGTTAGCCAATCCCATGTGACCATCAGCAGGCGCTATTGATCAAGATACGATGAACGAATGAATGAATACTTGGTTGGCATTTTTAAATCCCGGGCCTGTTGCTCTTTGCACAGTGTTCCGCCTCCCATCGTTACCTCGCCAGGGTAAACACAAGGAATGTAAATTTCAAAATTGGGACATGACTGAGGAAGCAACCCTGATGCAGGTGAGTACACTCATTCCAAAGAGCAGAATTCCCCACCCGGAACTCCGCTCCGAGGCGAGCTGCTGCAGCAGCACGGGGCCCACAACATCAACACAACTCGGGTACCAGCACATCACTGTCCTCCCCCACCCACACCTTCGGTCCTCGGCGCACCTCGTCCAGCTCATTCGAAGAATTCAAATTCGCTTTCCTCTCCATTAGGACTCATTTCTAAATTACAGTTTCTCAAATCCCTCTGACCCCCAAAAAGAGAATTCCCCGACTTGGCATCATTATTAAAGCCAATATCCAAGGCAGAAGGTACAGAGTTCCGACCTTTGCCATCTCCACCGCGACCCGCCCTTCGCCATTCCTCTCCCGGGCGGTCTGCTTAGAAAGGCGAACTAGTTCGCTCCTCACGCGCTCGTCCCTCGCTGTCACCCTCCCGCACCCTCCTCTCCCGGCCGCCCACCGACTCCGCCTCCGAGGGAGCGCGGCGGCCACCGCGCGGCCCGC